GCTCCTGTATCGGTCAGGGGCCCGCCGTGCCTAACAGGGCGTCCTGTGTCAACAGAGCGCCTTGAGGCGGCCACGGGAATATAAGCCGAACAGGGGCGGAAATTAACTATTTATAAAATGGGGATCAAGTGCCAGAGAGCCTCTTGTGTTGGTCAGGGCCCTCTAGCAATGATAAAAAAACAGACTGCTTATGATGAGTGTTTTTCATTGAGACAGTGGAAGGGTCCTGTGCCATTCAAGGCCCTGGTACCGAACGGGGGTGGGGTAGGGGGGGGGGGAGATCTGCCCCATTTCAACCAAGGGATCGTTAAGCCGAACTGGAGTCTGCGCCAAGTGTTGTACCATCTGCGGCGATAGGAGATCTTGCTGCGCCAATCAGGGCTTCTGCGTCAATCTGGGGCGAACTGCCCGGGCCAGAGCGCCTCCCGCGTCAGGAAGGGGATCAATGCATGATATCTAAGTGCCTCCGGGTCGGACAGGGGACTTTGCTCCGTGTCGTCAGAATGGCAGCCGGAGGCCCCCTGTGCCGGGACGCAATGACTCTTCAGTCCTTGACCGGGCACGATAGTGTGCTCCTAGTGTTCTACCCACGGGGCCCCTTACCAGGGGAAAGGTCGACGCATGTTTGCCTGAGAACATCCATCCTTTTACAGAATCGACATGTACAACAAATTACATATAAAACTTTGAGCCTGCGCGCTCGTAATCTTGCGAGCACGAGCTTCCGTAACTGGGATCGCAGTTTCCGCAAAACCGACAGACGTTGGCTGCTGCCGATGTTACTGAATATTACTGATATAATACTGGGAAATATACCTCGCCCTTACTTTTACAGATTCTTCCCTTACACTTCCAGCTTCATCACCACATTCCGGCGCCGGCGCGCGGTACTGTACGCGTCGATCCATTCCTGTTATCAATTCAAAAGTCGATACAAATGAAACATACGCATCAGGACCTCGTTTCAAACGAGGGAAACGATGTTCTACGACGTTCAACGGTATTTATCCCAGACTGTGTCATCCTTTCCGTTTGTCCGATGGCCGCCGCCTAGTGTTAGCAGCGGGCCGACATGGTGCGACAGGGACTGCAACGTCGCGCAGCTGGGCTTTTGTTCCGAAGACTTGCGAGAGCGCATGTTCAAAACTATGCTACATAATTTTCTCACTAATCAATTCTGGCTAAAGGTTGAAAATTCCCAGACCGACGTGCGGTGGCCGTACTAACGCAAATTTGCGACCCTTTTTTATCTGCAATCTACGTTAACAAGGCTCTCAACATCTCTGTAGAACCTAGACTAACATTCCTGAAGATTCAGAGAGCCCACTGAACCACTAAAAAATGAAAAGCGTCGGCGAATCATTCCATGCAGTTATTTTACTCCCGCTTCCTTCAGCTTATTGACGTCAAAATACAGACGGAATTACATCTTCCAGTAACTTCTGACTTCTGTTCAGGTAAAAGATGATAAAAGTACCAAAAAACGTGAAAAATTGTGGGCCCTCCTCGAAATTAGTTGGGCCGTAGCCGGTGATTTGTTCTGGGGAGGGGCTTTAGCTCTCAGGGATCCTGTGTCAACATCCCTTCCCCGCGCAGGGCTTTCGCTGCGCGTCGGCAGAGGAGTGCAGGCTTTTAACACAAAATACAAAAATGGACAGCTTGGGGCCCCCAGGCAGCCAGCAAGGACCTCAAGATACGATGATGAGCCCATAGGCAGACAAAAATAATTCATATTTATAAGGGTCCTTCCGCATTGGCCTTGGTTACCTCCCAGCTGAGGCAGGCCGAGCGTGACCGAAGGTGGTGCCTTACGCTACCGTCGGGGCCCCAGATATTGACCTGCCGGGCTACTCTCGATCGCTTAGGATTCCTGCACATCGGCATTGGCTTTCTATTATTTCCCAGAGGCTTCATGCTTTCGCAGGGACCCTTTTTTACATGTGTGGGGGGGGGGAGCAATTCCCGAGCAAAAACTCGAATAAAAGAAAGCCCGAATAGAAAGAATTCGAGCGTGAAAATTCGAACGAAAATGTTGTATAAACAGTGCAAATAAAAGAGGACAGCGGTAGAAGATTGCAAAACACCTCTATAGCAAAAGTCTGAAGGACAACTGAAATCAGAAAAGGGCATAAGGGATACAAGTCGACAGGGACAAAGGTCAGATTGGAAAGCAATATAATGGACAACAATTTGAAGTGTTGGGCAAAGTCTGACATTCAATTTGATGTAAGTAAACAACCAGGTGTTCAAATCCAAGTCCAGGCGCACGTGTCACAGCATCGCGCGGTGCGGAGACCCTTCTGCAATCGAGTCCGGCCAAAAGCTGGGGGCAGAGTTATCTGTTGAACTGGACGTCACGGCTTGGGTGATGGGTTCCGGACATTCGCAGCAAGTCATCTTTAGCAGATACCTTGCGCCTAGAGATACCCAAGCAAACCATTCGGAGTGAATTAATAAAAAGAGAAGCAAAAGCGAATGTTTCACATTTGAAGAAATTGAACGAAGCATCAGATATGATGAAATAAGCTCACATATAACTATGGGTATGCTTTTGAGCGGAAAAGACTCCTCTAGACAACACTAGACTAGACTAGACAACACTCACACGACACACTCCTCTAGACTTCTCTAGTTAATATGCTTCTCAATGAGTCGTTTAATTGTGTCATCGTACCTTGCACAACATTGACTGAGAGTCAATTAACGGCCGTTATACCTGAAAATTGTGCTCATGAATGCCATATATACATGACATGACAATTATATCTTTCTTGGCCTTGATCTTTGCATGGTAAGATACTAATGACATTATGCCATGAATCCGCATGTGACCTTGAAATAGTCCCTCGAAAATATTATGCACATCTTCGCGAGCGTGTGGCTCAGAATCTAGAAGGGTTTAGGTCTTAAGAAGGGCAGGGCTGTGAACTGCCCCGAATGAGCTTCAAGATGGCTATTTCAGTTCAAACTCCCATACAAATGCGAAACAGTCCCTTTAATGATTCGACGTCCGGCATGGAAGGGCATGAAGGGAGTGCATTCGGAGGTCCAGTGAATTCAGTGGGCTTCGCTGCCCAGGATTCGCGGGCCCACTTTTGCTCACCCGGCAAACGCGCCTGGCAGAAAAACAGCGTTCGAGCCTTTACAACCTAACCATACGGAACGCATCCTGAGGCTATCAGGTGACTGATCTGCTATCTGATCTGCATAGCATAGCATAGATCTGCATCCTGCTAGCCTCTATCTATTCCTATGAAAATTTCCTCTTTACGGACATTCTGGACCGATCGCGAGCAGTATCGGCGCCCATGACAAGAGCTGGCAGGCACCAGCACCCGTCGCGAGTCCCGTTTTTCGTCAGTCATGATGCGAGACAGACACGCGTCTGGTTCCCAATGTGGGGTCCTGGTTCCCATTCATCTCTTCTCATGGCAACGAGATTTTGGATCCTTGGTTCTGGCTGGTTATTGCATAAATTCCGCCCACCGCCCCCCGGATCCTATTGGTTGTTCGTACATACACAGTATCCATTGGCGTTGGTTGTATTGGCAAACATAGCACATTGGTTCTGAGTTCTCGCTGGTTCTTCCACAAAGAAAATTAGGGGTTCCTAGTTCCCATTGGTTTCTTTAAAAGACTGGAACCCGTCTCCTGGTTTACACTGACATTTTACAAACACCATCTGCCTTCCCGGTTCCCATCGGTTCCTTTACAAACACCGGACACTGTTTCGAGGCTCCCACTGGTCTTTTGGTTCACACCGGTGGTGTTTTTTCAATATTTGGTCCCTGCCAACTTTTATCTTTGTTGACCTTATCCCATTCGACTTTGATTCCTGTCGGCACTTATCCCTTTGGCTTTTTTCGCCGTTAACTTTTCCGATCCGACTTGTATACCTGCCGGCATTTCATTGTTCGCCTTTCTTTGTTCGATTTTTTTCACTCGACTTTTCAGTCAGATACCTGCTGAGACACTCCCGATCATTCAGGGGGTCACCATCTTGTTCTTTGGCTCTTTTCGCTCAGTCCAAGAACCCACGGCGACCACAGGATCATCACCCCGTGTTAACACGCGCCCGGCCAGGTCGGTTGGCTTCCATTCGCTCGGGTAGGATGTCAATTTGATTGAATTCCCCACATATCTCAGGAACTAAAAGAGCTAGTGACATATAATTCACAGGGTGTGTTGTCCTGTACGTGAACTCACTTAAGTCAAAGTTCGAGGTTCCTAGGTCATAGCCTTTTGGTCAAGTAAGGTCAAACAAGGTCAAATTTCAGGTTGTTTTCCAAAGTGTGGCGAGAACCTAGATAACTGCTCTAAGCAAAAATTCACATGCTCATTTAAGGTCAGTGACCCTGTTTGACCTTTTGATGGTCATGGTGATTAAAATCATACAATACCGCTTTGCGTTTTGCGTTTGGATAAGCGACAAAGATTGTGGTAGGCAATATGTTCCTAAAAACAGGGTGTTGACCTGATTCGTCTTCGGTCAGTAACGTTTTCGTACCTTTAAGAAGACCACGGAAGATGTGTAATGCGGTCCTGTTATCAATAGATTCGAAATGAGCACCAGAAACTACCCCATACAGCAAGCCATAAAATAAAAAACAAGTGCTGACCTTTGCTTGTGGTCTGACTTTGCTCTTGGTCTGACCTTCATACCTGACCCTAGGTCAATGAAATTTGTTTATTAAGGTGCTGTGTTGCCTAAGAGAGATCTCAGGCATGTATGGCTTTGTCTAACACTTTATGGTTGCATCAGATTGAATGATTCCCTAGAAATTGACTTCGCTGAAACCATGGTCTGACTTTGACGTGCCATAGGTCAGCAGCCTTACAAAGTGCTTGTAAATTTTTGATACCAAACCATGCGCCATTCAGTTGACTACAGCCATGCAAAATTTGGCGTGGCTTCGCCGCGCTGCTCGGAAACCATTCCGGAAAACCTTTGGAGGGGTGAATTTGACCCCCGTCCGAGCGCGTATTTTAACATACCTCGGTATCCTCGATCTCACAGGGGCCGCTTATATGAAATTCCCTTTGTCTTGGAAGGCCTTCGCTGTTACTGCGGCCTTTATGATTATCACCCAGGGTACTCTAGCTTGTTCCGGGGCACTGCACATTGGTCTTGGGTTCTGCCCATGTGCTCAGGACATCACGCTGTTGCGGAAGGCCTGATGTGCTGGCCTACGTGGGCACTCCTCACTTCTCAGCTGAGCGGCTCCAAATTGTACTTGGTCCTTCCTATGAAAGGAAAAAAGGTTAGAGGGAGGCCCCGACACTGTCGATGGAGGTCCTGTACGCTTGCCTGCTTGGCGCTATCAGTCGCTCAGGAGCCCTCCACGGGTTCTTTCCATTTGCTCGGGGGCTCCATGCTGTTTCCAGGGTCGTATAGGTTGACCTGCTGGGACACATGGGTTTAGAGTTTGACCTGAACCGTGGCTCTTCTCGCGGGCTAGGTAAGGAAAAAATGCTAGCAGCATTTGGTCTTCCCTGGAAGATTGTATGACCTCCCCACCCTCAAAGTTAACCCCGCGTATTAAAGAGTTTAGTTGTTTTGCCGAAAAGGAGCTGAAATAAGTCATGTGCTCATAGTGATACGATTGAACCTAAGAATGAATGATAGATACGTTTCGGACATCGCCCTTCCTTGGTGTCAATCACGTCAAAAAACAATAACACTGAAATACATATCCATATGCTACTTGTTACGATGATGTCATACACTAAACAGGCCCTAGTGCTGGAATTCAATGCGAAGGAACGATGAAGGCTAAGAAGAAGATTTGAATTTCAGGGATGGCTGCTGGGTTCTCATTTCGGCTAATCTTTGACCTGACACACATGAATTATCGAGATTTTGAACGACTCCGAAGCTAAAATTGACCATGGGGCGTACAAGCGAGACATTATCTCTAAGTGCAACGGGCGTAATTTTGTTAACGACACGGAGTTGTACATTAAGTATTCAAGGTAATTATTCTTCATCCAACGACGTGAGCAGCTTGCTGGGTATCCCACACGTCACAGTCATCAGTCATCAGATGACAGTCATCAGTCATCATCACACATGTCACAGTCATCAGTCATCAGTGTCAACAGTGTTTTTGGTGTGACACCGAGCGGGTAGTCCCACTTTGCACGTGTTGCACATCTTAGCGCCGGCAGAGCAGGACGTGCGGTCGGGGCTGACCTCAGTAAGTGTCCGGCCAAACTATTGTCCCTGGTCCAAGCGTGCTTGGAGGCAGGATGGTCCATTTACATTTACCTGTCATGCTAGTGGCAGAGAGACGCATCTTGAGTCTAGGGGCGGATCAAGGATTTCGTCAATGAGAGACGAACGACGCTGTTGCCCCTGGAATTTGTGCTCCCTTCAAAAAACTCTCAAATATAGGACACCGACTTTTAAGATCCCCATGTTTTTTCATCCGGGAAGCTATCTGACTGCGCAGTCCTGGAAAGCTATACGTACCGCGTAGGTACATAGATGGGGTGCGCTCATTTTGGCCACATTATGACGGATCTTGCCAATTTAAGGCCGCGAAGATATGACAAAGTGGCCCAAGGTAGGCTACTAAACGCCATTAAAATGAGACACAGCACTTGGTCCAAAAAATGACTGCGACTAGCCGATTTCTGGCAGCTTGCCGACTAGTTCATGCTATGACCAGCTGACAGATAATGACTAATGCTGTGCTTTTCTTTTGGCAATAATGAATAATTTTGAAATATGGCAACGTTCAGACTGTCCTAAGAATGTGATGGTCGAGCGTAGTGAGTGTCACTTATTCAACAGCTAAGCGAAACGAAAATCATGACATGGGCGCAATGGCGCGAACACGGGGGAGGGTTCAGAGGCACGTACCGGTCCCCCTTGGATCCCAAGGGGCCCTTCGGGTTCCTCGGGATCCACGATTAATGGTCGGGTTTGTAGGCCCAGAGGGCCCGAAGAGCTGGTCTTAAATCGTAGCTAGGGGCCCGGCTCTCAGCACTGTGCCCTCAAATGCCAGCCATAGGGCACTTAAAGCCGATCAGCCATAAAAAGCTAGATAAGATAATATAAGATAAGATAAGATAAGCCAGGCAGATAAAGCAGATCAGTCAAAGAGGACCTCTATTTTGGTCAGACACTACGAATACCCCACCGTCAGCCCTGTGTCGGCATGGGCGTGAGGGCCCGCTTCTTAACCGAGACAAGGCCGGGCCCCCGCGATTTATGTTGGTAGGAGGCCCTGAGGGAATGATGGACCCGCTCTGTTAGGGGCGCACACTGCCTAGCAGGGGCTCCTGTATCGGCAGGGGCCCCGAGACTGCCAGGGGCAGCGTGTGAGGAGACCCGAAGAGGGGCCCGAAGATACACCCGGGACCAGCGATCAAAGGCTTGATTGGGGGGCCTAAGTTTCCGGAAGTCTGGCTTAAGGTCACATTGGATCATCAAAGGTCAGACAGAGGGCTTCTGACACCGATTGGGAGCCACCTGAGAACATGTGGGCCTCTTTTTTAGCCACAGGCGACCAAAATCGAACAGCCGGTTCCGTGCCATTTTGAAACCTGGGGGTCTATTTTTCAAGCAGGGACGAGGCCAAGGCCCGCAACTTGGATTGGTCTGGGCCTTTGAAACACTTAGAGGCCCCTCTGGAAATCAGGGGCTCGCAGTGTGCGGGACAATGGATAATAGCCTCCCCCCCCCCCAACCGCTCTCCACACATGCACACTTAGGTTACGAGGGCCCGTTTCCCAAGCAGGACAAAGCCGGGACCAGAGACCTATGCTGGTTTGGACCCCAGCGTCTTTCGGGGACCCACAGTGTCTAATAGGGCTTCCGTGTTGGAAAGGGGCCGCAAGTCGCCCAATTACAGTGTGTAATTAGGCCAGAAAAGGGATCGAGAGCCCGATGAAGACGACGATCAAGGGCCAATTGAGAGCAGAGTTGGCAATTTTTGTAAATTATTGGGGGGTAGAACCGCAGGCCCGACAACATACCCCTCATATGTCTCACCGGATTTAGCCCACTTTATTTTTATTAAGCGCAATATATGTTTTTAGTCTTTATATAATCATAAAAGTCTTTAATCTAAGCAGCATGGAAGTCATGCAGGGTATGATTCAGGGAGCAGACACTGGACGCACGAGTCTCTTCTGATCGGCACGTGAAGGCGCCTCTTTAGGGACCACCTTACCAAGACTTTTTGTTATGAGAGTGGCACGAGGCACCATTACGCAGATCAAGGAAATCAAGAAAGTCTTTGCGTTATGATCTTCTCTTACCCACGTTCTTTTTTGTAGTATTCCAGGCAAACACATTGGGGGGGGGGGGACAAGCCAATATTGGGGGCCCAACTCAACATGGGGGGCCAGGACCCTCACAAAAGAATAAGAATTGACACCCGTGATTGGGAGGCGTAATAGAGATGGCTCTAGGTGACATAAAGGATCCTGGCCCGCACAGCCGTGGCCTGAAATATCTGTCAGAGTCCTCTTGAACCGATTGATAACACAATTAGACAATGCGGGCCAGGGGCGTCTACCTCGGCCAGAGACCATCACCACCGACAGTTGACTCCGTTTCTGCCTGAACCCTGGAAACCTATTTATCAAGCCGGAGCGAGGGCGCGGCCCACGATTTGCATTGGTCTCAGTCCCTGAAACAATGATTGGGGCCCCTGTGCCGGCCAGGGGCCCCACAATGCCCAACAGAGTGTCATATGTCGGCAAGTATCCCCGATTCCGTCACAGGCTTTGCTTGAGGAGGCCGGGAGGAGGGCCAAAGGGCCCTCAGCATCAAGGGTCAAGGGATCGGTTGAATGGCTGAAGGGGCCGAAGGGCCTGGAAGACTGGCCGTAGGTCACGATAAGGACACCGCCCGTAGGGCGTGCTAGCCCGTAGGGCATGCTAGTCAGGGGGCCGCTGGCATCGATTGGGAGCTCATGGGATAGTGCCGACCTCTTTTTGGCCAGAGGCCACCAACAGCACTGTTGCATTGGTCGGGGCACTCGAGTGCCCCGCAGTGCCAGTGCCGCAGTAGGGTTCATGTAGTCAGGGGCCCACAATGCCTAACAGAAAGCCTTGTGTCAAGGAGGGGCCTCGAGTCAGCGTTGAACACGTTTGCTGAACAGGTACGGGGGCGGGACCCGTATGCCAGAGTGCCTTTTGCCTTGGTCAGGGCCCTCTGACAATGAAAGGACACCTGAGAACACAGAGTGAGTGTTCTCATTGAGACGACAGCAGGGCCCCGTGTCAGTCAGCCCCCCCCCCCCCCCCCGCCTGCTCCCCAGTACCAGGCGGTAAACCCTCCAACCCAATTCCAGCCATGTACCAGTTGAGGCAAATCGGAGTCTATATGTCAATTATTGGACCGCCCGCGGCGGTCAGGGATCTTTTTGCATCACTGAGGGTTCCTGTGTCGATCCGGGGCTATCTGCACCGCTTGAAAGACCTCCCGCGTCAGGGAGGTGACCAACATGATATTATGTATCCTTCCAAGGCCCTCCGGTTCGACCAGGGGAAGCGCTCTCCGTCGCCAGAATGACAGTTGGAGGGCCCCCGCACTGGGATGGCATGACGCTTCAGCCCTTGACAGGGAACACTAATGTGCCCCCCCCCCCCTTCCCAGTATTTTACACAAGGAAGCCTTCGCCCGGCAAACTGAGGGGTCTCATAAGTGTTGAAAAGAGTGGGTAAACATGAGTTCAAAAACGAAAAAGACCAGCCTAGGTTTGTCTGATGACGCTTATTTTTTTACAAACACGATTAGTGAAACAAATTACATCATAAAGTTTCGAGTCCTGCGCGCTCGCATTCTAAGGAGCGAGAACAGCGATGGCGGGGGTTGCATTTGCCGTGAAACTGAATGGCGTTGGGCACGGCAAGTAATATCAGCCGGCGTGTGCCGTGTGCGTGAAAACGACCGTCATAAAATAATGCTTCAGAAAGTACTTCAAAATAAATCCGTACCCCACAAAGATCAGGCTAGTGCGCATCTTTTTTTCTTCATATTTGAGATTGTCCTCTAAAGTGGTAGCCATCGCTTCATAGGCGGATCCTGGGGGGGGGGAGGGGGCACGGGGCCATGACTCCCCCCAAAAAAACTCTGAGAGTATGTGTTGGCCCCCCCCCAAAAAAAGACATTCCCAGAACTTCATAAAAGTTTCCTCTACTTACCGTCTGTTTTAACTTTAACTGTTTTAACTGTATTGTTTTAACTTCTGTTTAAGATTCAAAAGTACTTCGGTGCTTGAATGGTGTCCCTACTAGGTACTCGCGAGAGGCACCATGCACTGGACCTCGGACCCCACACCAGCCAGCTGGCGACGAACGGTTGCAATCGTACATGTCATTAACAACTGGACCATTTACAACATTTGTGCAAGCCTTTAACCATCAGGGGTCCTTTTTTAATCATGTGTCTCACACCCCATCCTGCCAAGGCTCTGGCTGCGCCCTGGGTCTCCTGACGCACCGACCTATATGCTAGCAGATACTCATATATGCTGAGTATATTGTTCATTCGATATCGCAGGCTGCATGCGTTACGGGTTTGCAGCATAAATGTCACTTCTTAGCTTCAGTGCCACCCAAATGCACTGGCCCGTTTTGTCAAGCCCGTAACTTAGAAAAAATCGTAGCGCTTCGGGCAGAAACTAATCGTGAATGGCCGACGCCGCTTTCAGGTATCAGCTTTTTAGTGTGTGTTTGACGGGGGGGGGGGGGGGGGGGCTGTCCTGTCAACGAGGTGGAGACCACTCATGTTAGTGGGGCCCAGTAGATTTGCATGTCCCTTGGCCAAACCCTGAGCCCGCCACTGTAGCTCACCTCAAGGCCGGCCCCGTGGACCGGTCCACCGGTTTGGGTGGGGCCGCCAGGTCGTCCTCGCGGCTCCTCCTTCCGTCCGCAGACGGTGATCCCAGGCGGAGATGGCGCCGCAGGTGGCAGGACTGCCAACGGTCAACTGATGTGCCGTTATGCCGCCCAGAAATCCAGCAGTGTCCTGATCATCAGAGGCGAGGTCATGTGGTGGCCCCGTGGGCTGTGCCTCCCTCCTTCTCCCACTCATGCCAAATTTAGTTCATGCATTAATATATTCCTGAATAAATGGCGACAGCCAAAAAAGCGAGCCAGACATGTAAAACGACGAGCGACGTGAATAGGTAAGTTGTCAGTGATTTGTTTAGTTATACCCACACACCGCTGCGAAACCCTACTCCACGTTTACATACTGGCAATGGGCTGACAAGTGAGCGGCTTCTATTCCCAACGTGAAAACAGCATTCCGACGTCCTTTTTTGTCAGGAGATTCATCCCATTTAATGCGGAATATTCAGAGACCCTGCGTGGGCCTCACCAATTTCATTCCCGTAGCTAGATATCAAAGCTACAGAAAGGTACTGTCATCATATGCTGGGTCGCGGCACAGGCACGATGTGCGGGCACCATCGCTTGTCTTGCTCAGGTAAGTTCACTGTTTCGCTTAAAGGGAATGTTCTACATTTGAAGATATTGGAGCAAGTATCAGGTAAGATGAATAAACTCACTTATAACTATTGATACGCTTCTAAGAGGAAAAACTGCTCTGAAGAACAAAATTTTCATTTCTACCGTTTCTCTTAAGATCTTTAAAAAAAAACAAGCAGGCATTCAAACTAGGTCCGCGCGCACGTGTCGCAGCATTGCACGACGCGGAGACGCTTCTGCAATCCAATCTGGCAAAAGGGCGGGGGTGAAATTATCCGCTGAACTGGACGTCACAACTTGGATGATGGGTGCAGGGAAAACGCAGTTAGTTATCCTTGGCAGATACCTCGCACCTAAAGCTAGCCATGCAAACCATTCAGATAAGATTTATGAAAAAAGAATCTAGTTCAGGGGGAGTTTTAAAGAGGAATGTTCCACGCTTGAAAAGAATGAACGAAGCACCAGGTACAATGAAATAAGCTCACGTATAACTATTGGTATTCGCTCAACCGAAAAAGACTGCTCGAGATAATACAACATCTTTTTTCAGTAAATATGCTCCTCAGTACGTCATTGTTTGGTTGTGTCATCGCACCTCACACAGCACTGACTGAGAGCCAATTGGCCGCCGTTATGTCTGGAAATCGTGCTCACGAACACCAAACATGCACGGCTCAACAATCATGTCTTTCTTGGCCTTGGCCGCCGCATGAACAATAGATGACAGGACATGAATGACGTTATTATGACGTCATGAATGTCTGAAAGGCCTTGAAACAGCCTCCACGACAAAGTCTCCCTTTAAAGGAAGTGTTCCTTCTTTGTATGGGCTTTTTAACTGAAATAGCCACCTTGAAGATCATTCAGTGCAGTTCACAGCCCCAATGTTCTCAAGGCCTAAACCATCTAGTTTCTGAGAGCACGCTCGCGAAGACATGCAGACTATTTCGGGGAGACTATTTCAAGGTCGCACAGGCATCCATGTTGTCATAATAGCGTTATTCACATCCCGCCATTTCAATAGCATGCGGCGATCGAGGCCAATAAAAATATTGCTGTCGAGTCGTTCAAAGCGGGCGTTCGTAAGCACGATTTCCAGACACAACGGCAAGATATATTGGCTCCCGACATGTGCCTGGTTCCCAAGATTTCTTGCCTGGAACCGGTTCCTGGTTCCTGGTTCCGAAGCCAGGAAGAACCCAGGAACCAGTCTGGCAATAAGTCGAAAGATCCGGCAAGAACCAGGATCCAGCTTGACAATATGCCAAAAGATCCAACAAGAACCAGGATCCAGCTTGACTTGAAAATGGAAGATCCAGCAAGAACCAGGATCCAGCCTGATACCAAACTGAAAGAACCAGCAAGAACCCAGATCCAGCTTGGATTGGACATAGGAAACCCAGCAAGGACCAACATCCAGCCCGGCATTATGTTGAGGGATTCAGCAAGAACCAAGACCCAGCCTGGAATATGCATAGGGATCCAGCAAGAACCAAGATTCATCTCAGGCTTAAGATGGGGATTCAGTTTCAGCAAGAACCAAGATCTATTCTAAAATCATGTTCAAGAACCAGCAAGAACCAGAATCATACCAGGAGTTCTCCACAGCCGTTGCTGCTCACACTCCCCACTTTTTCAGGTCCACCGATGTGTGCTGTTGTTAATGTAAATTAATGAAATTAAGTTTATCAACATTGCTGATTATCTGCTCAGGTTATTCCCCATGTACCAAAAAAATTGCTGTTTTTCAATGTTAACAACACTACAAATTCAGAAAAAACAAAATCAATAACTTGTCACGATACAGGTATGTTGCAGACCTGCTAGGTCTGCAACTGGGCTGTTAGCTGCCTAATGTTATCCTGTGATATACGCACGGAAGAGCGAGCCTTTCCTTTCAGGATAATATTAGGCAGCTAACAGCCCAGTTGCAGACCTAGCAGGTCTGCAACATACCTGTATCGTGTATATATATATATATATATATATATACATATATATGTCAGTTTACATAAGAATAGCACAAAATGATTATCAATCAATTCACGCAACAACCATCCGCAACATTTCGCACACCAGCGTGGCGCCACCGCGCGTCAGTCATCAAGGCCGCAGATAGGGAAGCTAGCATCACGTGTTTCGTTTATCTAAAACCCAAAGAGAATATGACGTCGAGAAACTAAGGTTGCTGGTGGTGAGGTTCTTCCGTGTGAGAATGTGGGATAACGGTTTTATTTTATTTACTTTTTATTCCTCACACCAAAAAACACACCATCCATTGGCTCATAATCAATGTTGTGCAAGATACACTGACGTAATAAAACAATGACGCATTGAGGAACACGTGCACCAAACAAGAAAATTGCGTTGTGTACAGCATTTTTTTCCCCTCGCAGCACGCCATTAGTTCTAAGTGAGCTTATTTCATCATAACTGACGCTTGCTTTAATATCTTCACATTTAGAACACTCCGTTTAATCGGCGGCCCATGATTTGGCCTCCTCAGAATTCCGAGGAGAAATCCGAACTAGCGATCCACACCGGCTCGTGTGACTTACGCGGGAGTGCCTATTATTTTAAGAAAACCGTTTACAACGACTTCCTTGCACAGCATATGACACTGCCATCTGAGCTGTTGGCTTGATACCATAACGATGCCTTGCAAAGGAGATTATTAATCGTTAGAACGTTGCAATACAACTGGGAAAGCCGTTTTGCTTGCATTGCCGTTGCCTTTCACCCTCTCTGTTTTCAATAGAACGGTTTTCATCCGATGGTGTTGGAAGGAGGCCGAAGGCCGATCAGGCTTGCGTTCTTGTCGAAGATCAGCCTGTTCATACCCAGCACTTCCTCAGAAGAGCAGGTGATGATGCACCATCACTGCAGGTGGTCTGCCTATATTTAAGTCGGTTTCACCCAGGCCCAACGGCCGTTAGTCACAGGTCGCAAAAGGGCGGCTCCGGGCACGCGCGCATGGAGCTCGAGGTCAAGCTGGTGGGGAAACCTGACCTGAAAGGTCACCGCTCAAGTCTTACTGCTAGCAGGTGGATGCTGCGGGCGGGCAAGGAAAGCGGGCTTGACACTTGTGACAAGTCAGAGGTATCGGAAAGGTACAACTGCATAGTATACGCTATACTCTCAAGCGCTGGCCGCTGAAGCTAAAGAAAACACGCATGGAACCTGTGTAAGCATCCATCCAGGGAAGGAGTATATTAATAATTAAAACGGTACTGGTTGAGAAACCTGAGTGCAGGTTTATGATCAACTTAGGAGGAGAGAGAAAGAAGAGAGATAGAGAGAGAGAGAGAGAGAGAGAGGAGAGAGAGAGAGGAGAGAGAGAGAGAGCGAGAGAAGAGAGAGAGAGAGAGATAGAGAGAGAGAGAGAGAGGAGCGAGAGAGAGAGAGCGAGACGATAGATAATAGAGGAGATATCCACACCGAGATCTCCCTAGAAGGAGCGAGAGATCGAGGTGCGAGATCGCTCTGCAGCTTGCTCAGCGGGAGAGAGATGAGAGAGAGAGAGAGAGAGAGAAAGAGAGAGAGGCGATGGTTACTAAAACTAGTTTTTTTAGGTTTCACTGCGCTACATAAACTAGTTTATCTGTAACACACTTGACCTCCTGTAGACACAAGCGCGTCTTGAAAGTAATGTACAGCTTCAAAATCGCACCACAAACTCTGATCGATTCGAAACCATTGCATCAGCGTGTAAGTTGGAAAAGTCGCCCCTTGGACCATGGTTGCTTCGGCTATCTCCTGATCTCGCGATGCTATCCACCAGACACCAAGCCAAACACGCGAGGTCCCTTCCAGACAGCCTAAGATGAAGGAGGAATGGCTATGCTTGAAGCATACTAATGACAATAGGCCGTTTGATATCGGATGGTGGTCAAGGTATTGCTAGTGTAACCAGTGGCTCAGCGAGAGCCTTGGTAATGGGAGGAAAGAGATTTTGATGAAGGACTCAGTTAAAAAGGTATTATGCGGTTTCCCCCCCCCCCAAAAAAAAAGTCGGATATGACACACTTTTTTCCTCACGGCCAAAACTGTTCCTTTTTCAGGCAAACCGACGGACGCATTCATTGATGGGCACCATTTATAACTCACTAAAGAGATCCCTTGCCTCTCTCGGACAGGGGGCCCCGTGGGTAGAACACCATGTGCCCCGTTATGTTTTCCATTCAGGGGCTGAAGCCTTTTTGATCCGGAGATCTTCGGAGGGACGTGCCATACGTTAGTCCCCTCCCTAACGAGGCTGACCCGTTGACCGAAATATTTGCCGCGGACTCAAGTAAGGGGCTCTCGCTGATGCCAAATGACCTTACCGGCACAGGAGGCAAAATAATTGGCCCGGGAATTGAGAAACCTCAGTTCGGCTTATCAGACCCCTGGCGAAGGCGGGTGGAGGACCTCTGTTCATTACCGGAGCCCCTGTCTAACCTTCCACTGTCTCTGTGCGGACTCCTTTCACTGTCCTGTGCAC